GAAAACAAACAATTTGTCTTGAGTGGCTAATGACACCTGCCTGTTGTCGATTTTATATGTCTTGCAAATTCATCATATGCCAGCTAAAAATCATCATACCTGCAAACGAAACAGCATCTGTAGCCAAATATCCGTTGCAAGATCCAGACCCATAAGACATCGAGAAACTACGGCTTTCTTTTTTGAACGTTTTTGACTCAGAGGTTTCGAATTTGTGCTTGATATAGCCGCTTTCAGTATTTCCATTGCATGCCGCGCTTTGACAAGCGTCGTCAATCACCCAGAGGTTTGAAGAGCCAGTATCCAACACGAGTGTCATATTTTGAGCTGAGACAAAACTTTTTAACAAAAATGATAGCCTTCTAAAAATTTTGTTCATACCTGGAGTTCCTATTTGAACTTCGCCAAGATAGAAGTCATCAGCGTAGTCTATAAAAGGTTGGGATCCTTTGAAGATTTGTAATCTACGAGTCCGTTGGTTTTTTAGGTACTGTTGATATTGACCCTTTCTGAAAGAGATCTTCTGAATGCAGCAACGATTTTATGTGGTAAAACTTACGAGATCATCTTTGCTCGTAGAGAGCCGGACGATCGTGTCGGCATAGTGAACGACTTTGCATAGAGCGCTGCCAGCAAAGTAGCAAACAAGAAAAGAAGCCTGATCATCTGGAGTGATTTACTGGGACCCAGACAGATTGGTTTCAACTGAAAATTTTGGACTTGCAAGTTACAATAATCTAAAGAAAAATGTGTAGAATGCAAGAAAGATGCCGAGCAAACATATAATATATTTGGTGAGTCATCTGAAACGTACCTGTTTATATACTACCTGTGCCAGAGCCTCTACAGCAAAACTCGTGCCCATTATCAGCAGATAACATTCCTTAGATTTGTGTCCACAATATAATTTTGTGGCGGAAGCACGTGCAATCACATCATGTACATATGTGGAACAACTCGCTGTTCGCAAGTGAAGAAGTGCTATAGTACCGTGCTGTATGCATATATTCAGAACTTATCATATCGGATCATATTCAAAAATAAATGTTATTGGGAAGAAGTGCTGCGAACATGGCATGAAACCATGGACAGAATGTACCAATCGCCGTGCCGAAGATCAGGTGCGCTTTTACTATAGAAAATGAGCTCCCTATCTAAGATAGGGAGCTGATTTTCTTTTGTAAAAGCGCAACCCATTTTGACAGGGAAATTGATACATTTTACCCCTGCTAAGCTGCTGGAAGGTTATGCACATGGATGTAAGTTACAACTTTTTGGTGAAGCTCCTCTCACTCGTCGCTGTGCCGTCAAGAAGGGAGGAGAGGCGGTAGGGAGAAGTGTCGCAAAATGAAAATCATCCATTAGTTGGATGGTGTAGAATGTGTGATTGCGTGAGTCCGTTTCCAAGTAGTCATACGAAAATGTTTTGTTTTTTGATTATAATGCAGCACTATTGGATCTCGTTAGAGATAAATAATTCTTTTCCAATAAAATGCTTCTATGGATGGATGTCCAGGAATAGGGTTTACATATGCGATGTCATCTTTTGCGTGAAATCCTGCAATTATGAAACTATGAATTGAGAGAAAACAAATTCTAATCTTTTTCTTCCAGGCAATTGGTTTTCTCTCAATCCATAGCTTAGTTTTCCTGCAGGACTCTGTCCTTAATTTTGTTTGACTCTGTGTAAGCTTTGATCCCATGCATCGCCAAATACATACAAACAATCCACATATGATTGAGTGATTTCGTTAAAATCACTCAGAAAGAACAATATACCCCCTCTCCCACTTGCTTGATTTACCAAAATTTTTCAATAACTTCCCAAGCTTTCTGCTAAGCTTTTTTAGCTCTTCGCATGAGAATCCCCTCTCGTTCATTTGTGGAGGACGTACACGGATTTAAGTTGGCTGCATCAAATAGTACATAGTAGGTGCATAGTAAATTTACTGAGACATTGAAAGTCTTAGCTGCAAATATGAATAGAGCAAAGCTGTCCAAGGGCGTAGCTTGGGGCGTCTTTTGGAGTTTTCTTGGAAGTGAAGTAAGTACGATAGTTAATCCT